TCTTTTCACATCAGCACAAGACATGACACCGCATCTCTCCAAGATTGGGGAGCACACATCGACATCGATGTGTCAGCTGGGATATGGACCATAGCAGAGAAGATCTGCACTTCCACATGCTGGAAATGAAAGCAGTGATAAACGCCATACTCCACAGGACCAGCATTTTGTTGAATGCTCATCTGACGGTACATACAGTCACCTCCATAGTGGCGTTCTACATCCACAGAAGGATCAACAAGGTCGGCAAACCTTCTGGACCTATGCTTTCAACTGGCCAGCATAACAGTCAACCTGAATGTCCACATCAGAGCATGCCACATTCCAAGAGCCAAGAATGTGATAGCAGATGCACTATCCTGTCCAACGCAGCCATTCTCAACAGACTGGATGCTACATCCAGAGATCTTCAAGGATGGGAGCACCATTAATAGACCTCTTCGCCACATGGGTCAACTGATAACATTCGTCTCACCAATACCAGATCCACGGGCATGGGCAACGGACACGCTAAGCATCTCCTGGCAAGGACTAAAACGCTTACGCGTTTCCACCACCAGCTCTAATACCAAGGGTGTTGCAGAAAACCAGTCACACGAGAGTCCTACAACTACTTGGCCTTACTGGCCAGAGAGAATATGGTTCCCTATTCTCATACAAGATCTAGGACTGCCGCAACTGCAACTACCAGAGTGGACGAATCTACTAGTACATCCTCACACAAAGCAGGCGCATGGCAACCCAGAGGTGTTCCGGCTACACATGTGGACTGTATCAAGGCATGCTTGAACAAGAGAGGATATTCTGCCAGGGCAGCGAAAGCAGTCACACTAGCTTTACGCAAGTCTACACGCAACTTGTACGATGACAAGTGGCGACGCTTCGAGACATACGCTTCGAGGGCCGGCTTCACAGCCATGAAAGCGACACATCATCAAGTGGCAGACTACCTTTGTCACCTAGACAAACAAAGCGGTTAAAAGGGTCAACACTCTCAACATACCTAGCGGCATTGAGGTCAGTTATGGCCATGAGGACGAGTGCAACTGACGAAAGTACCAGAGTTACTGGCCTTACTACGCCCTTTTTAATTGGAGGACCAACAACAGAGATTTAAAGCTCCAGTGTGGGACCTCAACGTAGTTCTACGACATCTACGAACCATTATAGAGAACATCATTCGAGTTCTTGACGCAGAAGACGCTGTTCCTGATAACCATAGCAACAGCAGCAAGGGTGTCGATAATACATGCTCTGGACTTCGAGAGAACACGATTTGATGAAAATCAAAACATCGTGCATATGGGACTGAGATGGGACTTCATAGCAAAGAATCAACTGCCAGGTCATCCAGCCAGACAGTTCCACGTCCCAACACTATCATCAGTCCTTGGACCACAGGATACGCAGGACCTATCCTTGTGCCCAGTGAGAGCATTGAAAGTCTATCTACAAAGATCCAGGTCCAGGAGACGGAAATTCAAGTGTCTTTTCGTCTCGATATCGACAGCGACACAGACGGAGGTCTTCCGCACTAAGATATCAAGCTGGATCAGAACTGTCATACTACGGGCCTGCAAAGCAGCAGGATTTGATCCTCAAAGAGCCTCCAACCCACATGAAGTTAGAGCTCTGGCGTCAACGCTCGCTCTACATGGGAATCGCTCTATCGGCACGATAAGGGAGGGATGCTTCTGGAAATGGGACATGGTGTTTGCCAACCACTACCTGAGGGACATCGCCAATGAGGACGGCTCTGGCATTCACCATTTCGGCAGACTTGTTGTAGCACAACAATTGACAGTCCCACAAAGGCGCTGAGACGGAGTCTCGCCCTTTTACCACATGACTTGCAAAAGCCTACACTCAGGAGAGTTCAGCTTTGGAGTCTATATGCAAGTCTAGGACAGACTAGCATAAGTGATATGACCCAGTACTTGTAAAGACATACTCGTACAGGAAAGGGTCGCTTCTCCACTTGATGCTCGCATCAAGAGATGGAGTTGCAAAATCCACATGAAATGTTAACAGAAGCAAGGACCAAAAGTTAACAACTGTGGTCCCCCCATCAGAAAAACTGGAAGTGAAGGGTTACAGCAGCAGCAGAGCCTAGCAGTAACAGAAGTTCCCATAGGGGGGTATGCAAGACGTAAATCACTATATGAAATCCAAAAGTAGCTTGACCCACCACCAACTCCGTCAGATTCTACAGGCAAAAGAGCATGAGTCAGGATAAGGAAAAATATGTAATTTTCTGAATAAAATTGATATTTTATACTTAACCTGACTCATGAGGTAAGCCCTCCCAACCTCCCCGCTTGACACTTTGGATTTCCCTGTAAATTAAAGTGTCAGGCTCATAATTCGGAGAGAGTGAAGCATGGGAGTACGGTGGCGCCGCTTTCCCGCCAAAACGGCCGCACAGATAACTCGTGGTGAGTAGTGATTTTACGTCTGTTCTTTATTGAAGGGAGCTTCAATAGGAGATACAAGTGTTCCTATAACGTTCGCAAGAGGAAGGAGACAAGCAAAAGAGCATGAGTCAGGATAAGTATAAAATATCAATTTTATTCAGAAAATTACATACTTGTAAAACATGATTGCTACTACATATCATACACCATTTGAAAGGTCTAATCCTACTGTTTATTAATGTGAAATTTATTTTTGATCATATTATTCAAATAATCCAACTACTACGTAATTAATTTAATTTTTAATGAAAATGCAAGCTTAACAATTTATAATGTCTAGATAAACCTCCAAGGGAGCAAAAAATGCGGCATTTTTTCCATTTGTAACATGTCATAATATCCCTTTACCTTTTTATTCTATATTTTCATTTTTACGTAATCGGAAAATTATTTTTAAAAAGATTTCTCAAATAATATGTATGAACGTCTATTTCCCGATATCAGTGACTTTCCACTCAGTAACGTGATACAACGGGGAAATACCTCGGTTTTCAAAGCTTTGTATGAATAACATGTGAGGCGATTTATTTGATGGCGGTATCATTCGAAAGCTCTGAACATCGACAATATCACTTTACCCTTGCCAAGTGTATTTCACAGTTGTAAGAAGCGATTTTATTGGATAAAAATTGGTTTCTAATGACGCTTTTACGCCACAGTCTGATATAAGGATCGTAATTGGTCAAAATCGTACACGTGACCTAAGGCAGCCAATCATATTACAGCAATGGATACCGTCCTCGTAAACGAAAACTAATGATTCAGACGAAACTTTTGGGTAAAATCACACCATTCTGAACGTGTTATGCAATAAATCACCACCTATACATATATTATGGAACTTAGTGGACATATCGTGCTAGGTTATGACCTGTGACAAAAATGCTTCATGCATATATTTTAGCATTAAACATCGTGTGCGAGCATGAAGTTCGAGGCGACGAAAACCGAGATGTCACTTGAATAACATTACACGATCGCTCAAAAAGATGGAAATAGTAAGGTATAATGTACTTTTGACAACTTTTATGAGTACTGTTGTTGATTTTATTCTTCAGTTGATTCAGGTTGTTTATTATTTTTCTCGAAACATCGTTACTTTGCTCTTTGACAACTTTGCCGTGCACCCTTGCCGAAGCATTGTCCGAGAATTGGGGTTTTTTTTAAATAACATTACAAAAAATAGTTTATAGTTCTAATCCTGTCGATAATATATGGTCATTTGAAATTTAATAAGTGTTTTCAGACATTGTGAAAAGTGATAGATTTGATAAACGAATCATATGTTAGTTAGGTTCCTAAAATTATAGATCATTTTGATCTGGGGACTCATGACATCTTGGCCGGTTTTCCGGCCTACGGTGTTGAATGGGTTAATATTAATAAAAGTAAGATAATTGTGTTTAAAATGGATGGACCCTTGTCCAAACACGGAACATGGTTTTATAATAGCATATGAATGGAAACTGTCAATATTTATAAATATCTAGGACTTATGATAACTCACAAACTGATTTGGACTAGGACATGTAAAACATTATCTAACAAGCTAATAAGGCACTGTGGCCGATTAAGTCATTTATAAGACGATATGATATGTCATTCTCTGAAGGTTTTCATATTTTTATAAAAAGATTGTTCCAATTCTAACATGTGCTGAGATATGGGGGTTTAAAAAGAGAGAAAGTATTTAAATTGTTCATCGAAAATTGTGCAAATTTTTGCTACAGATTAGTTACAAATATTCTAATGCTGTTACATATGGGGAATGCGGGAGGGGACCTTTAAGTAATGTTTATTATGTGAAATGTATTAAATACTGGCTAAGACTATTAAGAATGCATCAAAGTAGATACCCGTTTCAATGTTATCTATTTTTATTATCTGTTGAATTCAGGAAACGTCCCACATGGGCTCGGCATGTCAGTCATTTGTTATTTTATTTTGTGTTTGGTACTGCTTGGGTTTCACAAGATGTAGGTGAAACAGAAATGCTTTTATGTATGTTTACTGAAAGAATTAACAACTGTTCTATGCAAGAGTGGCATTTTTCCCTAGATGTTCCTTCATTGTCTTTCTATAGTACCCATAAATCTCTGTTGACCTATGAAAAATATCATTGAACATAAGTAATAAGTGCAAGCATCTGTTCACATCATTTAGATCAGGATGTAATACACTAGGCATCAAATATATTAGAAGAGGTATTGCCTTTTGTAAAGATGATATTGTGTTATGTAAACACTGTAAAAGTATAGAGGATGAAATCCATATTGTTTATATTTGTAAACACTATAAGGATATGCGTAGGCGTTACATTCCAAAAACGGACCATGGATATTACTATTTTCTCCACAGCATATGTACATTAACATCATAAATAATTTTGTCGAGTTCTTAGAACATGTTTATTCTGCTCCTGTTAGCGTTGTTGTGTGCCAATGGTAACTAAAACCACTATTGTACCACAGTGTACGATCGGTCATATGGCCTTTATACAAAAATAAACCCTTCTTCTTCTTCTAGTTTCAGAGCCTGTGCTGAAAAAAGAAAAGCAGCCTCAAATCAGCAGCAATAAGACTGGTGGTGGTGGTGACAACAGTGACAACAACATTGACAGCAGTAATAGTGATGAATAAAACGATTAGATATGGGTCCAATGTTGAATTTCAGAGGTGTGTGTGCGTGCGTGCGTGTGACATTAAATGTAGAAGATTGGTTCTGAAATGTATGTTTTTAAAGAATCTTACTTATTCAATTTTTTGCTTGAAGGCTTCAAAATATTGTAAGCTCACCTGAGTGAAAGTCAAGTGCTCTTAACGTTCTGGACTGCATGTCTGATGTTGGCATTGCCTGTAAACCTTCCTCAGAATACCACTGGACCAATGGAGCTTAATTTTAAATAAACTTGGTTTGAAAACCATTTTGGCCACTACCTGGGTCCAAATAACCGTGATAATCTTTCACAACATGGAAAAGTTTAATAGCAGGATAGCCAATCTATACGTAACTGAAACTGATAACTGATAATGTAGTGCATCTAGAGAAATAAAAATGCATGTAGAAATTAGAATATGGTGCCATGACAGTACCTTTTTCTCTCATGTGAAAACTGTTGGTACGGAGACACATGTTTAATTGGTGAGTCTATTAATATATAATATTCAGTACATATGGGTGTAAATACAAATGGACAAATACTCTTTGGTCACTTCATGTGCATTGTTCATAAAACCCATTCCCAGGCCGTGATATTGCAGGAATATTGCAAAAAGTAGTGTAAAATAGTACTCACTCAAATGTAAATAGTGTGTACCATTGTAATCATATTGTTCAGCAGTTAAGACATTTCAGTCAGTCATCAGAGACATTTGACTCCTAGTCTGCCAGTTGAGAGCCGATGGTTAACTTGGGTTACACTGGGGTGAATTGTGGGAGTCATCAGATAGTAGTCGGTCAAGTGAACGAAAGATCTAGACATTGAAGAATGATACTTCAGGAAAAGACCATGATTCCCTCATGTGCCAACATTTCTGCCTTGCTCAACATTTGTCACATGTCACCCACATCTCCTCACTTGTATGAATGTTAAGTTTACTGCTGACCTACAATGATCTGTAGCGTTAACACCAGGTGGGTGGTGCAGTAGGCTAGTTATGTCTATATGATGTTCAAAAACTGAATCTGTTGTAGTTTCACTCTTGCCTTGTTTTGTTGTGCAAAGACCTCATCTTCTGAGAGGCTGTGTATTCTCTCAAGTTCATTAATCTTAAGCAAGAACCTGAGAACACCAGAAATTGGTCCTCCTTCTAAAGGAAGATGTAAGTACTTCAGACAATGTTCTTTTGCATGCAAGCTTCTCATCCTTGACAGGAAAGTCCACGTCCATGAACACACTATGTGAGAGTTTTCTTAAAAGCAGAGGTGCTGTTTGTCTGTTAAGGATGTGATGTAATAACGCAATTGCTTCACTGATGCACCTACTGTTTTAACCTCACTAGACAGCTGTATTTTTTGTTTTGATGTTTTTTAGCTTTGCATAGAAGAATCCTGCTTACAGTAGTTGGTTATACATGCAGACATACATTGTGGGTGCTAATTATATTAATGCATCAGTTACTGCACAAATGATCGTTGGTGACTGCTGATTGATCAGGCTGCTCTTCAGTCATCTGTCCAAAATCTCTTCTATTTACATTGTTTTCAACCTGTCACTTGGTCAAATGAATCAAGAAGGTCTACATGGCCAGGAACTACATGAAGCTGACAAACCATGATGCAGCTTAACATAGTGTTCAAAGATGTGTTCAGTGCATCTCACCATGTTATTGTTTCACAACCTGGTGAAGTCAGGAGAGAATTGTGGAGTCAACAGTATGACCACATCAGGGTTCAGGACTCAAATCGTTCTTTTAGGCTGGTTGTCATGAGGACATGTGTTCAACATCTGTAGACTCCACATGAAGTAAACTCTTTCTGTGCTTAAGACATACTGTAATCGTAGTTATTTTCGCGTGGGGATTAATTTTCGCGCTTTTAGCGCAAAATGATTGTGCGTCAATAATCATACCAAGCAAAATATTCATGGTCAGGTCATGACAAATACTCAAGTAGGAACAACATGCAATTTGTTTATTCTCTCAGATAACAACATCAAAACAATATACAAAGGAATAGAGGCATATACTAGTCTACGTGTAATAGCGATCACAATCAGCAACTGTTTGTTATCAGTTTGTCAGTTAATTGATAGCTGATTACTCGTAATCACAAAATGAACGAAACTCACATCAGTCACAAATCACAATGTTGACACAAGTATAATCCCACTTCTCTCTGATTATTTTAGTAAATATGATTCAATTATGGCGGCTAGCTTTGATCATTGCATGTCTATGGGTTGTGAAAACTTTGTTATGGACACCACCACTCAGGCGTTTAAAATGTGCGAAAAAACTACTGCGCTAGTAGGTCTTTTGTGAACTTTCCGCGAAAATTGCACCCCGTGAAAATATATACGATTACAGTAGTTCACAGTGCTGCTGCTGTCAAGATAACTACAACTTTTTACAACACTGCTTACATGTATGTTTTTAGATGTGTATAAAGCAAAAACATGAGGCGATACCCCTGAAAAAGACTTCAAAATGATAATTTATGTTCCCTGTTTATGAAATACATCACCATCAGATCTTTGAATTTTCAATAAATATGTTTGTCCTGTTTGTTGGTTTTTAATCCAATACTTGGTTGAGTACAGCTTGTTCAGCTTGACCTGAGCTACTCTACATGTGCATGACCCGGGAGGTCAAATGGCACAAACGGCAGGCCGAGTTAGCTTAATTAAATATGGGAGCAGAGAATGTTAATAATGTTGCTTTCATGCATACATGAATTTGTTACAGAACTTATCCCGGAGCACAACACTTCTGAAAAAACAATCATTTCATGTTTTAATTGAATTGTTTATACAGTCATATGCTATCTAGATTTGGTTTACTAACTTTACAACCCATGAAGGTCCGGGGTTAGAATGTGCCTTCAGTAACAACTAACGGGATCGGGTGGTCAGACTCGCTGACTTGTTTGACACATGTCATTGGTTCCCAATTGTGCAGATCGATGCTCATGCTGTTGATCACTGGATTGTCTGCTCCAGACTCGATTATGGTACAGACCGCTGCCATATAGCTGGAATATTGCTGAGTGTGGCGTAAAACTGAACTCACTCACTCACTACCAACTTTACAACGTACAGACGTCAGTTACTTTCACAATCCATTCATTCTCGGTATCACTCTCTACACCCAGTTCAGTTATCACTTTTTCAATTTCAGTCATGTTCAACTGCAATATTTCTGTCCCAGTAGTCTCTTTCCAATTTTTCAACATGGGCACAGCAATTACTCGATACACCAATTTCAAGAAACCGCTCCTCTGCGAATTTCTTAGCATCAGTAATAGTACACTTCACATTTTTGGCAGCTTAAAAAAAATTCACATTCGCCCCATATAAGTTCGATTGGGTTCAGATCTGCATGGTATGGAGGCAGCCTGATTCCTGTGTGACCGTGTTCCATGAGAATATGGTCCACATGATATAGCTGTACTGTGTTGCTTGTTGCATGCTTGTGCTAGAATGAGATGAACTCGTTCCGCGTGTGGACACACGTGACACAGCACCAGCAGATGTCCCAGGACTCAGCAGAGTTCTAGTTGAGGAATGGAATGCAATCCTGCAAGCTTCCTTTATGAACTTGATAAGGAGCATGAGAACAAGGTGCACCTGTGTCTTGGACGTACGAGGAGGGTACACAAGATATTGAATGACCGAGTGCTTCATGTTTTGTCATTTTCATTTTTGGGGGGTGGTCTACACTTAGGAGATAAACATCATGTGTTGGCCAATTTCTGGGTGTGTTATTGAGTATTTGAAGCACAGGAATATTTCATTTGAAACCTCCAGCTAACACCGCAGGTTCCAAATGAATTCACTTTTTTCAACCAATCAGATTAAAGAACACTGTCACTTTTGGTTTACAATTCCTCTTACATCTCCATTTCACTACCAGCTAGAGTAGATTCTCGACATCATGAAGTCAGCTGTTTCCAACTTATTTCGCTCACTCTCAGTTAACTGTCCATTGATCCATTTATTATTGGGATCAACCTGATAGTAGACCAGTGACGTCATACAGGGAGTTGACTAGAGTAAATAGATCGTTTTTCGGAACTCAATAGACGACTACGTTTGTTATTGTTCTGTTCCACTGCATTATCACATGAGAATTTGTTGTGTGTGAAGTTTCAACTACATATTGGAAAGAATGCAATGCCTGCACACCGGATTTATGACAACAGGGGCTACTGCATTCTTTGCAATTATGAAGAGAGCAGTGAAGTGCAAGCCAGACTGTGTTCTAGCGAGAAAGCGATCCATGCGCAGATCCTACCACCTTTGTCATTTCTTCAGTGCTTTCGGTGGTGGCTCATTGAATCAACTTCTATGGAAGGGTTCCGTTTCTGAAGCTCCACGATCCCCATACGCCGATCCTTCTACCTTCGTGGCTCCATCAGTATCCCAGGGTCGGGCTGGTTAGACAATCGACTGGGCATCCACCCTTCCAATGAACCTGTTAGTACAATCCCATCGTGCATGTACTCCCTGGATATAGCATGAGAAATGAAATCGGCTGAACGATCATTTGGGTTACATTCAGTGGTAGTTCGTCGAATTAACTCATACCTCTAGCTATGACGCAGAAGAGATCACTGCTACAGTGGCACCCATATAGCATTGATATGTTGGCCCACAGTTGGCCAATAATCACCGGTTTGGTTGGCCCATGGTTTTTTTTTTTTTTTTTTATTTGCTGTTGAATACATGAACTCAAAAACTGTACAACAGTATGAGATATATTGGTACACAAGCTGTGATGGGTTCGAGATACCCATGATCACCTCAATGAACACACACTGAGCAAAGAAGGACCTTCAAGGATAGTTGCATGGTTACCATGGTAGCATGATATATATATTTATATATTTTATTTTTATTTTTTTAATGAATAGGTATGAAAAAAATAAGTAAATAAATAATTTAATTTAAAAAAATTAAATAAATCAAATAATAAAATAAAAAATAATAATAATTAATAAATAAATAATAAAAAACAACATATGTAATGAATAACTAAATAAAAGAGTGCCTAGCTTAATAATAATACTTCATTCATTCACACATTCACACCACAACATACATACTCAATTATTGAATAGATATTTCTTCATTAATTAAGTTTCGATAAATGGCCCATTTCCTTTCAAAGTCATTAAGCATAGTTTTTTTACAATGTCTAGCTTTTTCTATCAAATAATAGTATCTTAATTCTTTCTTAAAATGGGATAGGGTTGGTGATTTCTTTTGCAGCTTGCATCTATATATATGATACTTGGCAAGTAGCAAAATGAGATGAAAAATATCATCAGTTTGAAAAGTGGATGAACAACCAAAAAGGATCAGATCAACCTGGAAATTAATAATACCTGTGTGTGAGCAGTTTTGTTCAATCCACTGAGAAAGCAAGCTCACCGTCTGCAATTGGTCTACAAACTACTGTTCGTTTAATTTTGTCAGGTTTGTTATCCCAGAGAAAACTAAATAACATACTATTTAACTTTTTAAAGAAAACACTAGGTGGATTGGGCAGAGTAAGGAAAAGGAAATTTAATTTGGAAATGAGCAGTGACTTGATAATAGCAATTTTACCTAGAGGGGTTATAGTTCTCTTCATCCATCGTTTAATAATCTCTTCAATTTCATATAGCTTACTTTCATAATTTAGCTTAATCATCTTGTTAATATCAGTCGAGAAAATTATCCCCAAGATCTTAAAGTTTTCTTGGTTCCAACGTAGGTTCAGGTCTGGTCTGAATTTAGCATTACTATTTCTACAACTTCCTATCCAAATCACTTCTGATTTATCATAGTTAATATTAAGTCCAGAGATTTGTGCATACAGATCTAGTGTGTCAATGACCCCTTCGAACGATTTCCTTGAGCCATCCAGGATAAATTCTGTGTCATCTGCATATTGAGCAATCAAGTATTCTAAGTTATTTACCACTATACCCTCTATATTTTCATTTTTTTTAATAAGAGCTGATAGTATTTCAGCACATAGTAGGAAGATATATGGTGACAAAGGGTCGCCTTGTCTACAATAGGTATCCACGGAGACATTTTACCATTTATGACTAAACTTGATTTAGTATCTTCATACAGTATAGAAACCCATTTAATAATACCATCACCAAAACCCAAAAATTTCAATGTTTTAAAAATAAAGGACCAAGATACTGAATCGAATGCCTTTTCAAAGTCTACGAGTAACAGCATTCCTGGTAATTGCTTCGATTCTGTATGTAAAAGAAGGTCATAAATCATACGAATATTATCTCCAATATATCTCTCGGACATAAATCCTGTTTGATCTTCATTACTGATGTTGGGGAGGACTTTTTTAAATCTGTCTGCAATGACAGACGATAGCAGTTTATAAGTAGAATACAGTAGGGTAACTGGACGCCAGTTTTTAAGAAATTGTTTCGGTTTATCTCCTTTTGGGATGCATGTTATTATTCCTTGTTTCTGAGTTATAGACAGATGACCAATTTCAAGACTATAGTTTGGGATCTCAGCAGAAAGTCACCAAGGTAAAGCCAAAAAAATTTGAAGAACTCATAAGTAAAACCATCTGAGCCTGGACTCTTATTGTTTTTAGATTTTTTTAATGCTGTTAAAAGTTCATCCTTAGTAATAGGGCCTTCGATGCTATTTGGATTCTCAATTTTACATACATCTTGGTCCCTAAGTAAATTACTGAGGTTTATATCTTTCACTAGGTGTTCTCTGGATGAATACAAGGCTTGATAGAAATTTGTAGCTTCATTTATGATTTCATCCCGCTATTCAATACTTTACCATTAGCTGTTTCTATTTGCTTCATATTTTTATTTATAAAATTTTTTGTCTCTAAATTACAAAAATATTTGCTGATGCATTCCCCTTCATCAATCCATTTGGCTTTGGATCTTACCAAGATTCCATCTAATTTTTTTTGTCGTAACAGTTGCAATTCTTGTTTTTTAGTTTCTAGTTCTTCTATAATAGTTTCTCCAAATTTGTTCTCTAAGTTTTCAATATCTATTTTTAGTTTTTCTTCTTTTTTGTTTAACTCTTTCTTTTTGAATGAAGCATACGAGATTGATTTTCCTCTAATGGTCATTAGAAGTGTTTCCAAGAAAAGATGGTCATTGATTGAGAGTTCAAGATCAAGATTAGGAACATGTTGAAGGTTATCAAAATTATATATTGGAACAGCGTAGTCCCTTTTTAGTGAATGTATAGTATTTTTAATTTCCTCAATATATTCCTTGTCCTGCAACAAGGAATTGTTGAACTTCCAGTATGTCTTTCGTTTTATTGTATTTTCGATATTCAAATGGAAGCTAGGAAGTGAGTGGTCTGTTCTATAGCCTGATTCTATTTTGGTTTGGGATACATCTCTATAAAGATTTTCTGACATAAGAAAAAAGTCTAATCTGGCTTGTTTTACAGGTTTTGTACGCCGCCAGGTGTACTGCTTTAATTCAGGGTTACTATCACGCCCTATATCTATAAGGTTCAGTTCTCCTATAAGTTCTAATAGTTGTTCTCTAGCCT